CCTGCTCGCTGAGAGGCAGCAGCTCTACTTACCGGTACATATTTAATCAAAAGTTTAAAAAAAATCTTTCCGTGTAAATATCTCATGTTACAACTTGAACACTGACTTCCAGGAAGATGGCGCCGCTGTGCATGCCCTCCACCTCTGTCTGCAGTGATCGTGTTTTTTCTGTTTTTGTCATTTTTCACCTACAACATCGACTCACTGCTGGTTTATGAACGTCATCAACTCCTAAATCTCAGACTATCTGCCACCAGTCTTGCTTTCTTTGATAATGATCGTAACTCTGGACCCCCTCTTGGACCCCCACCTCTGCTTGAAGACGTTCCTGTTTACCTCTGCCGTGGTATCCTGCCTGCTCGAAGACATCGCTCCAGGCGCCGTGGAAAACGGGCCGGCCGTCTTGTGAGGATCAAAGCCTGCCGGGCTGCTGCTGCAGCTTTCTCTTCAACCGAGGACCACATCTTAAATCACCTGTCCTGGCGCTGCGCCGATCCACCCGAGTCCTTCCCGGTCCCACAGGTCGGGTCACGCTTCCACAGCAGACCTGTTCGCTGCGGCTGGGCTTCTAGTCGTTGGAGTCGCGGGTCGAACTCCACAAATCTGAGACCGCTGGTCTTAACTTCATGGACAACTTCTCCTGCTGTGGTTACTACAAGGATTGCCCTGATAAACGCCAGATCTCTGGCTAATAAAACATTTATCTTGAAGGACTTTTACTCCGGTCTGGACTTCTTCTACGTGACTGAGACGTGGCTCTCCTGTGGTGAGTTCATGGCCCTGTCGGAAATTTTACCACCGGACTGTTCTTATTTTAATGTTCCGAGAACATCAGGCAAAGGTGGTGGATTATTAACTATTTTCAAAAAACAATGGAACTGCAAACTGGTAGAGATACCAGCTAATTTTTTGAGCTTCGAACTGCTGTCTTTTGAGGTGGGCCGTTCAAATCCTGTTTTTTCTGCTGTGTTATACAGGCCACCAAAATATAATAAGGACTTCATGGCTGAACTCTCTGACTTTTTAACTTCGATCTTACTCAGATATGATCGGGTTTTGATTCTGGGAGATTTCAATATACATGTCTGTTGCCCTGAAAAGCCGCTGACTCAGGACTTTCTAGATCTGATCCAGTCTCTGAACTTTGTACAGAATGTTGTAGGACCAAGTCACCAGCATGGCCACACAGAGGATTTAGTATTAACCTTTGGTTGATCTGTTTCTGAGTTAGAAATTGGGGATGGGTTTACCTCCTGGGTTTGGGCATGGGCTGCCCCCTGTAGAGGGCGGGTACATGTCTTGGACCTGGGGGGTATAGAGTGTGTATCGGGAATAAGAATGAAATGTATCGTTATTGTATGTCTTTGAGTGAATGAATGTGAGATTGAGGTTGGGATAGTGTGATTGTGTCTGTGTATGAATGGGTATTTGTTAGGCCGAGACTCGGACTGCCCCCTCTTTGATACAACTGGGGGTGCTTGGCATCGCGCCCCTATCGCGCGGCCCCCTGGTGGGGTGTGCCCTTGCCTGCCGGCGCGCTTGGGGCCCTTGGTATCGGGGGCTGGGCGCTTGGGCGTGTGTCGGCTCGGCCTGGTGTCTGCCTGGTGGGGCTCGGGTCCTCTGGCCCTGTCAGGCCTTGGCCTGGGTGGTGTGAGTCCTCGGTGCCCGGGCCTCGGTGCCTGGACCTGGACCTACATCGGTGCGGCGGGTTCCGACGGAGGCCTATGAGTTTGTCGCTGTTGGCCCGGGGGGGTCACTGTATGTGGTTGCTGGTGGGGATCTTCCGGTTCTCCCCTGTGGTCCGTTCTGGGGGGTGGGTGAGTGGTTCGTCCTGTGTGGGTGGCTCTGGGGGCTCCGCGGTCGAGGTCCCTCCTGGGGTCTTGGGCTCTGGTCCCCCCTTTTTCGTCTGCCTCTGGTCTTGGGGGTCGGGTCTCTGCTGCTTCACA